TTTTGACTTATATAAAAAGGTAATTTTCAAAGAAGAAATGGCAAGGTTTTTTCTTGATAATATATATTGATATCATGGTCTACCTGATAACATCATTTTTTATTAAGGACCTCAATTTATATCAAATTTTTGAAAATTCTTTTTTAAAAAACTAAAAATAGATATCAAACTTTTTTTTGTCTTCTATCTTCAAACCAATGGCCAAATAAAATAAGTCAATTAAGTTTTAGAGTAGTAATTACAATGTAGCATTAAGTAACAATAATATGATTAGACCTCATATTTATTTTTAGTAAAGTTTATATATAATAATATTTTTTATACTTTCACTTAGTAGATACCATTTTATACTAATTATAATTATTATCTTAAGCTTTATTTGTTAGATACATCAAAAGTTAAAAATCCAACAATTAAAGATCTTGTAAAAAAATTATTATATTTCCAAATAAGTTTGAATCTCCATTTATAGGTGGTTTAAGATTCTTACAAAGCATCTTTAAATAAATTTAGAAAAAAAAATTCTTTCTTTTCAAATTAAAAATAAAGTATGGCTTCTTTGACAAAATATTTAGACGAATCCGTCTTGCAATAAGTTGGACTATCAAAGATTGGGTCAATTTTTGTATTCAAAAGCAAATCAATTTTATGGATTATTAGTTGAAATTATTCACATCTATAAAAATATATCTAGTCTTTTATATTTCTATTTTAGGAATCTTATTCAAAATAAATTATTCTAAGAAGAATACAACCATCATCCCCTTGCATTGAAATAAATAATCATATAAAATATGAAGTGGAAAAGATCCTTAATTCTTGGCAAATAAGAGGTAAGTTTGAATATTTTTTTTATTAGCATGGCTATGATATTAATGAGTTTACATGGAAACCAATAAAAAATTTAGTTATTATATTACAAAAGGTACAAGAATTTCATTGATGCTATCTCCAAAAATCTAAACCTATTTTAGGATGATTTTTTTATGAAGCTGCTACTAAAATATTATATATAACAAAGACAACACGTATTGCTCACAACAACCTTAGAATTTAGTGTATCCAATTTATGATCCAATACATTGAATTGGAGAGTTTTTAAATCATGAATCTTAAAATAGAGCTAGTATTAGAGCTTTCTTTATTATTACTACCACATTAACTGTTCTAAGACTTCCAACCTTGATAAGATCATTCTCAAGATGAAGTTGGACCTTCTTCAAGGAGAAAATGCTTAGGCTATAATTAATTCAAAAAATAAAATATCTCAAAGATGATACTCTAGCTTTGCTTCTTCTATTGTAAATATAAAATCAATGTTCTCCATGAAACTCATAATTACAAGAGGAGATGATATTATGAACATCCAATAAGAAGATTTTAGAAATATTTTTATAATATTCTATCAAGTTTTTAAATATTTTTAAAATATTTTAATAAGAGGTTTTAGAAGATTTTTAGAATATTTTAAAAGATTTTAGAAGGTTCTTAAAATATTTTAATAAATTCTAAATAGTTCTAAGAAAATTAAAAAGTTATCTAAGAAGCTTCTTAGGATTATTTCACCTTCAAATAATATGGAAACTTCTCGATGTTGTATTACATAAAGTCTTGCTCCAGAGTACACTAGGCACCTGATTGTGGAAGATAGAATGGAAATTGCAACAACAAAAACTTAATTTTAATAGAATATTAAATAAAATTTAATTAAACCTTAACAATGCTAAAAAAATTTTAATCAAATTCAAAAGAAATCTTAAAGAAATTACAAAAGAAACAATAAAAATCTTAAAAGAGTTGAAAAAATATCGACAATAAATCTTAAAAGAATCTTTAAGAAGTTCTAAAAAATATTAGAATAATCACAAATATATCTTAAATAAATCTCAATCAATTTTTAATTTAATTCTAGTTGAAATCCTAACAGAATTCAATCAAATCCTAAAAAAATCCTAAAACCTAAACCAAATCCTAGATAAAACATTAGATCCTAAACCAAATTGTAATCCTACTCAGTCTAATTCAAGTGTAGTTTAGAACCTCAATATCTATCAATTGAACTATTGATCTTTCTTAAAAATTCAAACACCTATCAACAACTGAATTAGCAACAAGTACACAAAATTTGAAGATAATTGCACTTACTTAATGAAAGAAAATCCCTAAATTATACTTGGGTATTGACCGGCCTCATACTTTAATCTAAATGTTGATTTTTCAATACCAATATCTCCTTATTAAACTATTCAATTATACTCAAATTTCACATTTATATAAGAAATAAAGTCTATTACCTTTAGATACAAATTTTATCTCAATCCAATTAGTATATTGCTAAAGAACTTAAAAACCCTAACACCCTTTTAAAGTCCAATTTTCAAGATCTCAACCTACTTGAAATTCAATAGCCTTCAATTAAATTGTTTGATTAAGCTCAAACTTGTAGAATACACTTTAGACAACTATTTTCATAAGTCATCAAAATTTGAATTATAGATCTACTACTGAAGTGACGAAATTTTCCAAAACGTAATACCCTTTTTATTTTACAAATTCCAGAGTCATGCAAAACAACTATGACTTTGCAAAGCTCTTGCAAAGTCATTACATACTCATTTCCCTCATAAAATTCTCAAAAAAATCCTATCAAGTTTACTCTCAAATTCCACTCTTTGATCTGCAAAAGAACCTCCAAGTTATTGAGCATGCTCAATTTTGTGTCTTGGAGTTTGATTTTGATCCACGTTAATAACTGTTCCTCTTTGAGTATCAAATTTTGCCTTTTTGAGTTAATTTTTATTCCAATCAACTCCTAACTTTTTTCTACATATGCTTATATTCTTTATTTTTCTAATCTATCTTGTTTTGCTTTATCTATGAACTTACAAAGTAAGTAGAAGCATACTTTGTAAAAAGGTAGCATTTAGACCTTTAGTTCTACTTTCTTTTGGACTATTGTCTATTTTCTAAGATAATTTTCTACAATATTTGAAGTACAATCTTCTATTATATAATATATTCTTTATCCCTTTTACCTATTAGTCATATTACATCACAACATCGAGAAGCTTCCTAATACCTTATATATATTAAAATTGAGGCTGAGGAGATTCTCATTCTTAGCAATACATGTCTTGGACCTTTAGCTCATCTTTCTTGGAGTTGATATTAAACTCAACTAGTTCAATCAAGTTCTTACTAGCTTTCTTCTTAAAATTCTTTTGTTCAATTTTTTGTTTGATCTCCCATATTATATATCTATGATAATATATTTTTTTCTTTGGAACCAATCAAAAGGCTTCTTTGTCACCTTATATTATATCCAAATTTTCTTCTATAATAGATTAATAACTTGTAAAAGAAAGTTTTAGGTAAATTAGTATTTATTTATCTTTTAATAAATTTATTCTATATATATAAAATTTTAAATATACTTTAAACTTAAACTATAAGATTTATATCAATGGATTATGTATATATATATATATATATATATATATAAATTTTCTGTAATTAAATTTTTAATAATTTATGTAATTTTTTTATTTTTTAAAATATATATATATATATATATGTAAATTTTTATTTAATATTCTATTTAATTTTTGGTGTTGCATAAATAAAAATAATATATATATACATGATTTATTAGGAATATTTTTGTATTATATATTTTTTAAAGTATGTTTTATTTATTTTATTTATGTCATTAATTATAATGTAATAGTAAAAAAAGGAGAAGATTTAAATATATGTATTATATTTTGGTCGATGTTTTTGTCAATATTTCTAATAAGAATATTTTAAAAAAAAATATCTAAAGTATTTTAACAAAATATATGTCTATGTTTACCTGATTTTATATTTATATAATTAGATTATCATATTTTTTCTATTTAAATTATAGCTGTAATTAGATTTTTTATGAAAAGTTTCACAGTTAAATCATATTGTAGTAAAAATACAAAATCTTGTATCAATATTAAATACTAAGTTCAATGATATATAATAAGAATATTACAAATATTTACAGAATGAAATAAAATAATAGATTGATATTTTGAAAAAAAATAATAATTAATTATTTACTTTATAATATTGATTAATTTAAGATATCTAAAATTTAAAAAAAACAATATTAAAGTGTAAATTTAAATTTCAAAAAAGTAAAATATAAGATATAATTTTACTCTAAAATATGATATGGAATAGATCTAGCATAAGAAATTGAATAATGTTAATGAACTTCATTTGATAATTTATCTAAATAAAATCAATCATGAAATATTAAAAATATTAAGAACTTTATGATGCACTACATTGAACAACCATTTTATTTAATTGGCAACCCGTCAAATTGAACGAATGTACGAAACTCATGTAAAAGTGACGTTGTCATCTCCGCATTCATCCAAGAATGCGATGAGGATGTGGAATGGACGTTCATCCATCCATCTCAACACGAACGAAAAATCGCGCGAAGCCGGAATGGGGCCACGAATCCCCCGCGGGCCCCATGGCCGCTGCCAGCTGAAGCCCGTGAAATCCCGACGTGTGAGGCTATCGCCCATCCGACGGCCCAAAGACGCGGACCGCGGTGGAAGACGGTTGAGGACGAAGGCAGTTACGGCAGAGGGCGGCCATGGGGGGGGGGGGGGGGGGGTTTGGGCTTAACAAAACAATTTCCCCAAAGCAAGCCCGCTGGGGGCCCCTTGGCCCTCTGCCCTTGGCCCCGGGACCCGGGTTTCTTTCCCTCCTTTCCCAAAAATGTGGAGGTGCTGCCCCTGCTTTTTTTGCCCCGGAAATGCCCCCCCCCCACAGGACTGTAACTTGCGCCTCTCACTCTTGGCTTGGGCCTGGGGAAATTTCCTTTCTCCCTTCTTTTTTCTTTTCTTTTTTCGTTTTTCGTTTTTCGTTTTTTTTTTTTTCGTTTTTTTTTTTTTTTTCATGATGAAATCTTCGTTTAGCTACGCTTTATTTGTATTTATTTATTTTATGCTGCGCTTAGCGTGGTACGAGTGCGGAGAGGATTTTCTGTGAAAGCTGATTGCTAGGATTGTTAAGATTGATTTCATTGTTCCGGTCGTCGGCGGTGTTGATCAGGTTTGCGACGTTGGCGGGAGAGGGTGTATGATGAAATTCGTGCTTGAGTAAAGTCAGTTCGGAGGAAAGTGACATATTTTTATATATTGAGGATACTTTCGTTCGACGAGGAGGCTGAATGCTTTATGATTGTGTTGATAGATGGTCTGTAGACTTTGTGTTGGATCAACAGATTGAAGGTTGAGTGTAGAGGTGTGGCGGATTTGTTGAATGGATCAGTGCGGCGTAATGCTGGCGCCTGCGTCCAGCAGGAAGGTCAAGTCTATGATTCCCGAGCATTGTCTGCAGAACATGGACTCTTTGGGATTGCAGCAACTGGAGCATCTGGAGAAGGAATTGGAGCAAGCCAAGAAAAAGGTTATATTGATCAGTTTGCATAGGTTGACTGATGCTTTCTGATTATTGCATCGAGAGCGGGTTCTAAGGATTCGAAAGAGGTTTTCATATTACGCACACTGTGCGAAACTTCTTGACCTGGCAGTTTTTAGATGATCTTGGTCCACGTTTGAATAATATTATTGAAGGTAAAGCAAGACACTTATCTAACACTAGATCAATTGACTGCGGGTTATGCAAGTTGTAGGAGGGCTTCATGACAGCATAATATGACATCCAGTTAGATTTGGCTACTGAACATTGGAAGAGATGATTATAGATGTCTTTTGTCCGTCCATCTGGCATGTGAATTGTTAAGTTTCAATAGTGAATCTCCTTTGACAGCAGATATTCGCTACTATCTTCTTTCATAAAATCGAAAACATGTCATCTAGCGAGAGAATGCAATTAACACGAACAGAAATCTGATGATTCATAGTGTAGGATTTCGTTTCAATTGCACATTCGGTAGAAGCTGAAACAGTTTCGGCGGTTTTGATGGTTCTTGCAGATTTTGGTGTTGAAAGCTCAGGAACATCGCGAAACTTCCTCTCCTGATACCAAAGTATGTATGTCATATCTATTTCAAGGTGTTGGTCAATTTGCTTTGCATAATGACACGGAAGGTCATGTCGTTGTGTTACTTCATGCTGCTGGATTAACTTGACAATCTTGGTTATCCGGTTGCTTGGCGTCACTGGAGGTCTAGAATCTTGTAAGGTAGGTTCCATATTTGGAAATTTATTACCGCATGTGTTACTTTGCTTGTGCAAGTGAACTCTGAAACTATTCGTCTTACCTAGATTGTTTAGATATGACAATAGAGCTGAAAGAAGAGAAAACTAATTCGTGGTATTGAGGAAGTTGATTAATTCCCCTCTGACTTTGAATGCAGCAAGTTTCTGAAAGTAGATATTGGACAAATGAAGAGCGTCAAAGATTCAAAAAAGCTCTTAAAACGTGAGATCCACTAGTACCATGCAAAAAAAAACAAGAAGATTCGGCCGAAGATTTACATTACTACAAGAGATTGATGTAAAAAAGCTGCTCAGGATCTGTAGACAAATGAACTGTATATAACTGATTCATTACACCCTGTTAATCCGCAGATTTGGAACAGATTTTGCTGCTATTGCCAAGTTCGTAGGCACACGCAGTTCCACCCAAGTTCGCACTCATGCGCAAAAATACTACGCGAAGTTGGTATGTTATCCTGTACGCTTGAAGTATCTTTATTGCTTGACAGCCGTATCATTAAAAGACGTAGTAGTAGCTGTCTAAATGGTATGAGTGTAAGCAGGTGGTCTTGATCTTTGCTCACATGAGTCGATCCATTTCCTGAAATCGCAATCTACAATACTCATCAAACATCTTAGGCTAATTCAGCTCACCACTACGGTGGGAGATTTCGGATAAGTGATAATTCGGGAAATTCATGAAAAACTGACAGAAGACGTTAAATTGAAGTAATCACAAGTTTAATACCTTTCAATATGCCATTTCCTCTTTCTCATATATGGCCCATTTTATTCCAACAAGTTTTTCCTATCTTCTATTAATTTATTCATGTGGTTTGAGTAAGAGCGACTTGTAGAGCTTCAATATCATGAGTGACGACACGTATGGTTGATAATAAAACTTCATTGATTTCTGGTGTGAGGTTTATATCACAGCAATTTTTCATCCCAGGATCGATTGATTCAATTGAGCGTGGATTTTATGGATATCTTTTGGATTGAAGTTCTGCCGGATAGAAGACAATGTGTTAATACAATCTGGGTTCTATCTTGGTTGAGTTTTGTGTCCACAGATAAGAGATTACAAACGCTCAGGCAAAGCGGGAACAACCATGAAAGCTCGAGAGGATGCAACCACCAGGCTACCTGCAATGTGATTTTTCCTTAGTAATTATCTTAGGGAGCATTCCCTTAGTGAGCAAGATCATGAGGCTTTTAAACAGATAGAAATTGCAAAGAGTTGAATTTATCAATCTAGATCGTTCCATGACACAAGTGAACAGAGTCTGAAGGTCTTCAGATCCAACTTCCCCCCCTTCTCCCATTCATTCCAGGATGACAAAAACTTGGTGTCGGCCACAATTTGGCGTACGCCACTGTTTTTAGTCTTTGTTTTTCCGGCAATTTAATTAATCTCTTTTGTTCTCTCTCGTGTGTGTATTGCTCTGAAGGTTAAGTTTCGCCTTTGCAAAGAACACTGCCTGGGCAGGTGTACATGCACAGAAACCAACTTGTCAGATTCCCCAATGTGTGAATACTAAATGCATACATACTGGGAGAAAAGTACTGAATACAGGTATTTGAGCCCTTGGATGGTTTAATTTGCTAGTCTCCAAAAGTTGCATCCATGAATTTTAATGACTTATGCATTGATAGTGGTAGAAGAAGAGATGAAAACAAAAGGTCTGTAAAAAATATATACTGCATAGTGTATTGATGATACAATTGTAGATGTATCATTGTTACAACATTAGCAAAATTGAATCCAATTTAAATATTTTATTCAAATATGTCCAAAAAGTAAGATGAAGAAAATTCAGATTTATTTATTTTTAATTTTAAATATCAAGTCTTTCAAATCCAATCCTAACATGATTGACATAAATTCCAAATAGAAACTATAATTAATTTGACAGATCTATTTAATAAATAAAAAAATTATCCATTTTTTCTCAAAAATGTTCATAACATCAAAAAATAAAATAAATAAAATAAAATAAAAAATAAACAATAGACTTTAAAATGGAATTTTATTTATTTACTTTTCTTTAGTAAATTATGCACAAGAAGAAAATTTGTTGTACAAAAACAAAAAGTTGTCTTGTTGTTGTTAGTAGTTTAAGACATTAGTGCAAGTCAAGAATAACATGAGGTTGGTCCAATAAGCAATCTTGTATGTCTTAAAAAACTTATTAGAAATAAATTTCTTAATTTTGTCTTGATAGATATCAATTTTTTTTAAATGGCTTAATACAGAAAACAAGAAAAACAACAAGTTGAACTTTACAACAACAAATAACTTCTTATACTTACTCATCTTATAATAAACAACTTTTGGTAACATCATTGTGTGTGTAGGTGTGAACAATCTATTGTAACCATTTTTTCTTGACATAAGCAATAATAAGATAATAAAAATAAATAAATAAACACAAATAATCATGCTAATAGTAGAATATATTGAAAAAAATGTTAACATTTTGAAGACTTTAAATGACAATTAGAAGCTATAGAAATCTTCTATTTCCAACTAAGTTTTTAATGATAATTCATAATAATTTTAGTAAATTGTATGTCAGCGTTGTTCCATTAAAAATACAATTAATTTGGAGCTATTTTATTAAAAAATAAATATTATCTTAGAGACATTTGTCAATGTGGTGCTACCATTATCAATAATCAATGTATATACTAAAATAAGAAAATGTCTATATATATCCAAAATCAGCTTTTTTAGGTGAGGAGCTAAATTTTCAACAAAATGTAAATGCAATACATTGATGAAATTATTGAAGATAAAATATTGTTCAATCACAACCAGGTATCCTTAGTTTACATCAATTGTTACATTGTTATTATAATTTTCCACATCTTTCTTCAATCAATTACATACATTTTTTTTCTAATTTTTACAACTTTATAATAAGATTAAGAATTGTGGTATAAGTTGGAATTTGATGCTCTAGCCAAAGAATAAAACATAATAAAATTAGTCATCAAGTTTATCAATCAAAAACAGATAAACATGTTGAAAAATTTATTTTATTTTACGTTATTTGCATGAGTCTTTTCATTGAATGCAAAATCTACTATTGTATTGTATTTCCATTCAGTGTCAATACAGATAAAACCTTAATGCAAAAGTTTTTCTTAATCAAGTACAAATATCACATATTTATTAATATATTATTTGACAAGATATTTATAATAATTATAAGTGATTTAAGTCTTTATTTTAACTATTCTTATTATTATTCTTACTTGTATATTAATTGCAATAAAACAATGTATGTATTGTCTAATTGACTATAGCATCATGTAAGAAGGCGCCTTGCCATTGTAATCAAATGTTTGGCTTTTGACACTAGGAAGTGGCTTCTAAAGAGAGCCTTTGATTATGAATGATAATATGACATCTATGTCTTAATTATCTTTTTCAAGTAATAAAATAATCTTATTTTTATTTTATGAAAATTAAATATTAGATCTAAATATAATTTACTAATGATAATAATTATAATTTCTAAAAAAATAGACTTTGAACTTGTACAAAAATTACAAATTTTAAAAGCCATATATAAAATATAAAAAAAAATTGAGATGTATTTACAAGATCAAATTTGTTTGAATAGATTCTAAATCAATTCGAATTTAATTAAACTTAGTTAGAAAGCAACACCAAACTAATTCAAATCATATCCAACAATAGCTAAATTGGTTTAAACAAATTCAAACCATTTACAATATTAAAAGAGTTTATATGAATAAAGATATGTACTTACTTCATACATATAAAAGCATTAAAATAATATTAATGGATAAGACATGTACTTAAATATGAATGGAATTTATAATTTTTTTTAAAATTTTATAATATGATGATTTGTGATAAAATCTTATTACTGATAAAAATTTAAAATTTTAATTAGTGTAAGAAGTAATATAATTTTTTAATTTAACTTGCCAAATTCAAAAGATTATTATCGAACCTCAGTATTAATTAGAACTAATAATTAAAACAATATCATAAAATCAATAAATATTTATATAATTATTTTCAAAAAGAACAATTTGATTTTTAATTTATCATGTCTCTTTTTCAGCAATCTAACATGATTTGTATTGGTAATAAGATAAACAAAAATCATACATTTTTAGATAGTATTACAGACAAAGATGATTATACTACAACACAATATGATTCATTTTGGACTTAAAAAAATAGAATTTAAAAAAACATATATTTATTTAAAAGTTTAAATATATTTGAATATATACATATAAATATATATATATATATATATATATTCATGGGATTCTTTCATATTTTTACGTACATGTATCCACAAAAATATTCATAAAAAAAACTCTTATAGGACCTCACAATTTGTATTCAAAAGTGTGATTTAGGCAACTACTTTAAAAATATTGATTTTTTTAGAGCATAAGGATAGTTTTGATAACATACTTATATTTTAGTACATAAAAGAAGGTTCAAAATTTTTGTGAAAGATTGAAGTATAAATTTACAAAAGGTGATTTAATAAAGTAAATTTTTTATGCAGAGATGAAATAACTCCATATCAAATGAAGGAGACATAATTAATTTAAATTAAAGTGTGAAAACTAAGAATAATTGGATTATCACCTCATTGTAGACCTTTATTTTAAGCTACAATTTGAATATCCTAACATAAGATAAACCTTGGTAGAAATAAAAATAAAAATTTATCTATCTCAAAATCATAAAATCATATGACATAAAATTGTATCTCAATTAATTTTGAGTGATATCACATAAAAATGCATCACGATATGAATAAAATAATATGATAACAAAGAATTTAAATTTTCAGTTTTTAAAAAACTAAAAAATTAAGGAAGAATTTTTGTTGGAGTAATTTTTTAAAATATAAAATCTCACAAATTTTACTTATTTCAAAATAAACGGAAAATATGATCAACAAGATTTGGTCAGAACCTTTTTTGAGAAAATAAGACATTAAAAGAATGTTAAGATTTGAAGCTATACTTAGAATTTAAATTTTTATTTAGATATATAAAATAAAAAACGTCTTTCATTTGAATGTATCATATGTAGTTGAAACGATGTATTTATAATGCTCAAAACCTAAAACTCAAGAATTTATTATTTAGTCTTAAACAAAATAAACAAGCATCACACTAGATAATTTTTAAAAAATGAATTCTTCTTTGAATACCATTGATAACGTCCTCATCAATACTCAGTAAAAACAACTCTTTCAAAATCTGTATTATTTCAAAGAAAAGAAAATTTTCTTAAAAACTAAAATAAGATCTTATCAATATCTTAGCAATGTATGATATTATTCCAAGAACTTCCTCTACTGAAGTTTTAAAAATTTCCTCAAAAGTAAATAAATTTCTTTAATAACAATAAATAAGTGAAAATATTTTGATTAAAAAAATAGGAATGGATGATAAGATAAAATAAGAAGAACAAGCTAAAAGCCTATAGGCAGTGTGTTTACATCATAATAAAAAATAAAAAAAATAAAAAAGTAAACCTGAACCAACATGAATTGATTTTCAACTTTTTTTTATAAGTAATAATTCTCTCTTTCTCTCCCTCTCGTTATTTATATATATATATATATATATATATATATGTATCAAGAGAGATATTGAACCATATGATGATTCTTTCTGATTAATTTATCTATGTAAGTATGAATATATATATATATATATATATATTCTGGGTACTGTGAGATAAAATCATTTAAAAAAACTAGCATAATAACTATAAAACATGTATTTAATACAACCACACAATCCTAAATATGAAACTTCTCACTAATTTCTTTTCGAAATATACAATTATTGAAAAAAAAAAAAAAAAAAAAAAAAATCATACTGTAAACATATCAAGGTTAAAGTTATAGCCAAAATAATTAATGAATTATTCAGTTTCTAATACTTCATCATATATTTTACGTGTTTTGCAGTTGATTTGAAATATAACAATGTTTGAAAATCTTGTAGAACTTATGCCATAGAATATTATTGATTCCATTTATAAGTCAAAATTTAGACCTTAGCCAAGAAAAAAATAATCCATACTGTCAAAAACACTACGGATGATGTGTATGACCAAAATAAAATCATAGAAGTTTCCAATTCTCCATTTTCATGTAATTGTGCAATGGTGCCTGTACAAAGTATTTACAAAAATATCAACTGATTAATTTTCAATGCTTTTAATTAGTAATGTCAATGTAGGTTTATCCTGTAAACTTATTATAAAAGCATTATAACTTTAAGTATTTAAGTTTTCCTTTTTTACACGAATTTCTCTATGAAAAGGTACCAACCTATATTAATTGCAGTGGGCATACAAAATTGAAGGAGGAGTACGAAATGAAATAGCGGATCATCTGGAATTAGTTTCAAGTTTATTACAATGAAAACAAGGCCACACCCAATTAATGGAAGAATAAAAAATCGAGTGCATAAAATCCCAATTGTTGTTTTAGGTTGTAATCCACTTCCATGTATTCCTAAAAGTAATAATAATAAAAAGAGAAAATTTTATTAATTTGAAAAGGATTTTAATAAAGAGTAATATTAATATAAAAAAGATCCAACTAGGCTTTTACAAATAAGTATTGGTTTCTTTTCTGAGAATCATGGACTTGAATTATGTAACTGATCAATGTAAAAATTAAATTATATATTAATAAAATGGCAATAAAAATAAGCACAACATGGATTTATTGAATCTACGTTATATAACTGAAGTGTATGCATACCTCTCTCTTTCTCTATATATATATATATATGTTTTCATATGCTTTGAACTACTTTTAATCATGTGATATTGAGGTTGAGTCATTACATGTTTCTTTTACACATTCAATGCAAACTATTAAAAAGGGTGTCTTACCAGAAATAAGGTTACCACCAAGAATCAAATTCATGCATGGTATTGTTGCATCCCTGGACGAAGTTATTTATTTTATTCATTTAATTACTTGTTTACATATGTACATAAATGTTTTTAACAACAATTGATATATATATATATATATATATATATATGTGTGTGTGTGTGTGTGTGTGTGTGCAGAAAATATGATGAACAAATAAAATTATGTTATATTGATTTGCAACTCTCTTTTTTTTTTTTTTTTTTTTTTTTTGGTGGAAGTGATCAGTATAAGCCAGAATGTTTTTGAACAAACCCTAAAATGGCAAAACAATCAGTCAAAAAATGTAATGGCGCATGTGAGCCAATAAATATACTCTTCAATGGAACACACCCTCCCACTATAAGTGCCAAAAACTGTGATATCATAACCAATTCCATAGAAAATGTCAATTTAATTTTCTTTCGTTGAATTATTCAACTCAATAATAAGTCCATGTACACTATGTTAATTACTGGAAAAATCAAACAATAAATATCACTGATGTTTTTGATTGTGCAAGCCAGAATTTCGATTTTCATATGTAATACATCAATATAAGATAATAATAGTAATAATAACAATAATTTTTTATTAAAAAAAACCCATCTAGTTTAATTTTTATTTAGAAAAAATTGGTTAGATTCATTTTTTATTCAACAAACAGGTATATTAGTATAATTGATTTATACAACACAACTCGAAAACTAATAAGGTCTCAATTTTAAATATAAAATTTACAGCCGCTGTTGTTGGAGGTGTAAAAATTTGTTGGAAATTTAATGTTGTTGAAATTTTGGTACCAATAGATTGCAGTGATGCCAATGAAGGTGTTGTATTCATTGGTAAACTTGATCTTTCTGTATTTTCTTCATCCTATCAACACAATAGTACGTTTGAAATTGTTAATAAACTCTCGTACTAGCACTTCTGAAATTGTGAAGTTTTGATTATGTATCATGATGTTATGTTTCAATTGATTCTGCTAGTTAAATTGAATCAAAGTAGAATATTATTGTTGTCACAATTACTTAATATTGATATTAAGGTTTTGTAATATTTTTAAAAGTCACAATAATGATGCATTGATTGATGGAAACGTTTGTAAACCAATCAATAGTTAACTAATGTTTAAAAGCGGAATCACCATTTTGTTTGATGTTTTAATCAAACGGATATCATTTGCATTAGGTGTTTGAAATTGCACTCTCTTAACATCTTTAGAGCTGAGATGTTGATTATTGAATTTATTTGGCATTAAGAGAGTGTAAATAAATGTCCAGATTAATAATGTTGCCATCTTTTTACATGTCAAGTACATAAAGATCTTGAAGGATTTAATCAATAATATATATATATATATATATATATATTGTTTCACCAGAAGACTAAAATAAATAAATAAATAATCACTTTGCAATTGAAAATACCACAGATATGTTCCAAAGTCAAAATAATAAATTTTGAATTTTGAATTCTATTTGAAATTTTTGTTCTAATAAGACTGAATCGTTTTTAATCCATTTTGATATTCCAACCCAAATATTCACAATTGAATCTTTCTCTCTCTCTCTCTCTCTCACTCTACATATGTATGATGACTCAGCATTAACACATGTTTCAAATACCCAACTAATTTACATAACTAAAGCTTACATAACTAATTTAACCACGTCATTTTCTTTTCTTTTCTTTTCTTTTAAAGTTTTAATTTTCATTTCAAAAGATTTTTTCAAAAAAAAAACAAGCTCACAATTTATCAGCAAAGAAACATTGGTTTCTATCAAGTAATCCAATATTAGTATAAGTAAACTACTATCCAAGCAGTGTACAAAAGCTTTGTAGTTGGAAAAAGGGCAAACATCAAATGCCACATACGTACCCACATACCAAATGAGACATATGCCTGTCCATTTAATGAACAAGATAAATTGGCACCAAAAGGATTGTCATCTACTTCACATATACTTGAAATTAACACCAAAGGAACATTTCCTGTGTTGCCTGTGAGGAGTCACAGACCAAGTCATTTAATGAATTACATATGTGTCTATATATACATATATATATATATATGTGTATATATATATATATATATACATACACACACACACACAGAGATCAAAACTTTTTGGTCATGTTTTGCAAATTATACATGATAAGCATATCCACCATTTGTGGAAGATTGTTTTAAAAAAATTAATTAAAAAGCCAAAACCAGTTTCATCTTAGAGTATTGCAATATGTTTTGATTTTTTGTGAATGTCATCAATTTGCATTCCTTACATTACAATAACATATTTTATTTTTATTTTTATTTTTCAAATGCACAAATATCCGCAGCTGGTATAATGGACTTGTATGATTAGAATTACCAGGCTGTCTGAATGGACAGCTTGGTAATTCTAATCATAAATATTAAAACAAAGTTAAACCAACTTTCTTTCGTTTTTTTTTTTATTTATATACTTTAAGATCATGTACCCATTCTTTATTTTTACTTTGTGCTGATTTGAAGTACTAGTATTTCTTTTTTCTTTTTTCTTTTTTTTCTTTTAAGTATTATAGAGTATTTAAACCTAACAATACAAATATAAATAGATGTCAACCTACCTACCCACCTGCAGAGCAACATGCAATTGTGAGGTTTTCCAAGTGGTGTGGAGGTCTTGTGAGTTTAACAACAACTAGACCCACACATGCTCCTATTGCAAAGCTTAATAATACATTCAATGGCATGTACCACCTGCATATTTCATATGAATACAGTATTGAAAAGCACACTGACTAACTATATATATATATATATATATATATCAAGGTACATATCTTGTAAGAATATTAATACATTGTGTACCCATTTATAAATATATTCCAAAGGTGAGAATGTGTAGATTATTATTGTCAAAAGAGAGATGGGTTATTATGTACCATTCAATGAGCTTTTCAGCTGTGACTGTCTCTGCCAACTTTGTGAAGATCAAGCACGGCGCAAACACCAGCACCACCAGCTGCATAAAATCATCCATATATTCATCCACACATTCATCCATTTGGAACTCCAAGAGGAGGAGGAGCTTCTACACAAACACACACGGATGCAAAAGATACACACTACTAACATGTGAATAGCATACTACATAATCCATGTTGTTGTCCTAATGCATGGGAAAAAAGTAAAAAATAAGTAAAAAATAAAAAAATAAATGAAGTTAAGGCATTTGTGAGAGGTGGGGCTTAAAGGAAATAGAGGTGGATGGAAATGAAAGTGAGCGCATATTGACATGGCTGAGAGGGATGGAGGATGGACATTATGGTTTGGTTGTTAGGGTTAGCATTATTTGATGTAGAGCAAGAAGGAGAAGAAGAAGAAGAAGAAGAAGAAACAAATGGGTAGTCTTGAATTGAAATTTAGGGTTAGGATTAGGGTTATGTTTGTTTGAGTCACTCACTTTGTTTAAGTGTTTGCGTGCATCAGGAGGGAAGGCATTGATTTTGGGGGATGCCAGGAGGGCTCCAATTCCACACATCACTAAAATCTTCATCACTGGCAGTGCTGCCATCACCAGCACCCTCCCCAAACGTGGCATCTTTATTGTTTTCACCACCACCACCACCACCACCACAGTCAAAAAAACAAATATATATATATATATATATATATATATACATATATTTGGTTTAGGGGCATTTTTGTCATTGATTTTTCATTTTTTTTTCATTTTTTTTTTTTTTTGTTACAATTGTGTATATTTTAGAGGATGTATTGTGGTGTAGGTGATACATTGTGAATTTTGAAAAAAAAAAAAAAATGAAAAAATGAAAAAATGAAAAAAATGAAAATTTCAACAAGGTAGATGCTCGAATGATTCATATGGAAAATGCATGTATAAAGCTTAAAAATAAGAGTGAATTAATGGTGTAGTTATTACAGCTTCAAGTTGAATGATCAATTGTAGTAAGTCTCAATTTCGGGTTTTTTGTAGCATGTGTTCATGATTTTATAACACAGGTACTCTAGTGTTAACATTTTCCCCTGCACTTGAAGTTAATTTAAATGTGGTTAAATGTTGGGGTATGCATTAATAGAATTTGGTGTCATAAGAATCATAAATTTGCGACTGCCTGGTATAGTAATAGGCTATAAATTTCAAACTTATGATACCATCTAACAATGCACATAACTAAAAACCTTTATGACGAGGTCCAGACCTTTTTAAATACTTCATATTCACTTCACACATGTTGAAATCAGATATTTTGATTCAAATAAATTTTATTGCCTTCTTCTCATTGTGGGTAAATATGATTTTGAAATTTCAGTATATATATATATATATATATATATATATATTTCAACATGACATTTTTATGAGACATGTTATGTTTGATTCAGAAAAAAAATGAGTCCACACTTGTTATTTTTTCCTCATTCAAATTGAAAATTTTCAACAATAATTCACATTGTGTGTGTGTGTGTGTGTGTTTGTGTAGTTTTTATATTTTATTTTATTTATCCAGTAAATAAGTTAAGAGAGGAAATTTTAATTTGTTGTGAAGAGTTGAAATCAACAGTGAACTAAAAGTGCTCTTCAGAAGACAACAAGGATTCAGTTTTATGGAATCACTGTGTTGTGACAATTCCAAAAAATCTTGTTTTACAAAGATTTCAGTTCTACTCAATACTCAAATTTGTTGTTATTCAAATCAATGGTAATGCTAATGGAAATATTCAGTTAACATTGCATAAATTTAATTTGAAACATTTCAAGTTTAGGCTGAAATATGAAATAGTACAGTATCTTTTGAAATGTGGGTTAAAATTTCTCAATGAGATGGATAATACAGTTTCATTCATTCAAGCAATAATATGTGCTGTTAAATATGAAGCTTATTACAAGTATGGTGTTTAAAAAATGAATTTTTGCTTAAGAACTACCTTTTTGCTCCACCCAAAATAATAATAATAATAATACTTTTTTTATTGATTTTTTTTTTCTCATAAATTCGGGAATTGCTTATCATCAAAAGAACTCATGTAAACATCCATCAAAACCTCATAAATAAAAATGACTACAATAATCCAATATCAAATCTTCCTCACCATATATGTACATCTTGTCTTTTACAATTTGGAAGAAGGCAAGACAATAATCTTTCTTGTTGTTCAAAATAAGATAGATTAAAACTTAACTATTTTGATTCTTCTTGGTAATTTGTCCATATAGATATACTTCAAATGACAATGATGCTAGAATTGGTATAATGTGTCTCCAATATTTGTTTTTGGATTTATTTGTAATTAAGTTATCAATAATCTTCAAAATATATAATTTTGATACATAACTAATATTTGGTAAAAATATGAAATACCTAGCCTATTTTTAAAATCAAGCTTAGAGATGTGAACCTTTCAACCCAAAAAATTTAATAATTGGTTCAAAGAAATACCTACACATTGTGGTTAAACGGCAATTCTAATTTATTGAGTGCATGTCAATAGAATAACACTTTTTGCAGAAATATCAATATTAAATGATGCTTTGTTTATCACAACCAAACTAAATTTAAGATAATGTAAAAAAAGGATTTAAAAAATAAGATTAAAATTTCATAAAATTTCATTGCTAGTATAAAATAATTTTATTCATAAAAATAAAAATATTGTTTTAATGATTCAATGAAATAAAGTTGTATGTATATGTACACACAAACATACATATAAATACAAACACATTACTGTGATATGATTTTTACAAAAATTCAAGGAATCTTGTTTAGTAGTTGATGGACAAAAAATATGTGTTCTAGTTATAAACTTGAGCTAAAATCTCAAGACTACTAAAGAAGAATATACTCAATATCATAACTTTTAAAATTGACTGGAATGCATCATTAAAAGAAAGAACTGATAAAATTGTTGGGCTAAGCGTTAAAAGTAATACAAAAAAAAACTATTCTTTATATATATACACATATTTATCTATATAAATAAATGTGTGTGTATATATATATATATATATATATATCTATATAGGAACTTGTTATAGGGACTTTTTCTTCTAGTTTATGTTTCTTTTTTCCAATTAACAAGATATACACATATATATATATATATATATATATATATATAATCTAGAATCTATCAGTTCATTCATAATTTAATGTTATACTGTGTAAATTTTTAAGCTTACAAAGGAAATTTGTGAATTGTTAAGATAACAACAATAAAATATGTTGTAGTTTAGATGTAAAAAAAAGAGACTAAGATCAAAGTTGCTGTGCCTACATTTAATGATACAATTTTATTATTTGTGGTGATGGAGGTGGGATGGGACCGGGGTGGGGACAAGGAGGTGGAGTGGAGACATGGGAGTAGGGTAGGGACAACGTCACATGGTGAGGGTATGATAGTGGGGGACATGGGATGGGAATAGGGTCGAGGATATGACACTTGTACGAAAATGGATCATGAGGTGGGAAGGGAGGGTGCCCTTTAACAAGTCCCTATTTATATATACAAAAAATAGTAATAACATATAAAATACAAAATCTAGCATATTGAATTTTTGAAAGTAATAAGATGAATATTAAAATTAAAATAAACTACTCATGTTTTCAAGATTTAAATTTGGATTAAAAAAAAACAAACAAACAAACAAACAAATGCATACACACAAACAAACAAATAGAAAAGAAGATAAATTTGAGATTTTAGATAAACTTCTATAAAATATTTACAATATATATATATATATATATATATATATATATATGGTTTTATGATTACATAATATTCTAATACAAAAAGTTATTTGGTACTCCCTTGTACAAATTATGCATGCCAATTATTTTGAAATAGGTACTTACCAAAATGTAGTTATTTTATGTACAAAGGTATGTCTTTTATGTATTTATGTACTTTAGTTGATATTTAAGAATTGATGTATATTGATGTTTTTAATGTCATTTATATATTTAATCTATTTTGTGCACCTAAATCTTACAATTCAATTGAATTTCTGTTTTGAATTCAGTTTTATTTCCTTGTGCAGAAATATAAATATAAAAATATATATATATATATATATATATATATATACACACTTATTATCCTTACAATTTAATGAAATTATACTTTATATGCATCATGTTTTCTTATGCACGAAGTATATTTTAAGCAATAATGAAAACACTTAGTAACTTAATTTGTATGAATTAAAATATGAGATTTTGTACTGGATTTTTTTTTTTTAAAGATTTTAGTACTTCAAGAAATTTCAAAAAAATAATAATGTTGTAACCTTTTTGTTGTCATGAATGATTGATCTAACTACTCTTGATGTTTACACTTGAAAGAATTGATTCCTCAAAAAAAAAGTATAATTTTAATATATATATCAGCAAAGATAAAGATGTGTATGTGTGTGTCTTTCTTTTCTTCATTTTTATTTTTTATTTTTTACATGATGCTATATACAAGATTTCAATTACTTTAACTAAAAAAATGATTTCCAACCACAATGGCTTTCCTTAGCTGCCTAATGTTTCATATTTCATGGTTTAAGCGTACATGACCAAATCTTTGATTATTCTTTTCCCACCAATGGAAAGCAAAATATGCTAATGCACCCACAAAAGCAATAGCTATAATAATAATCAAAGCATGAGATTCAGAGTGACTTGTTGTTGCATTTGTATCATTAACTGGATTCTTAGTTGTATCCAAAAGTAACAATGTTTGAGGTAAGTCCTTTACACATATACTTCCATTTTTTACTCTTGCCCAACCAACCATACATTGTTCACATGCTAGTCCAGCATATCCTGTACACAAAAAAGATTAGCATTATCTCTCTCTCTCTCTCGAAATATATACATATATATATATATAACCTTCCTTTGACATCTTCATTTTGTCTTTGCCACTACTTTTACTACTCAAATCATGCATTCAAAAGTGCCATCCATGTCTCATTTTTTAAATCTAAAAAATTAGAGAACTAAATTTGCTACGAGTTATAAATCTTATACTTTAAATTTTCCACATGATATATATATATATATATATATATATATATATATCAAGTATACTTGGTTTCAAAAATAAATAGAAGTATTACCCAAAAAACATTTACATTGACCACTTGCATCCAAGCAAATGCCTCTGCGAGAGCAAGCTTGTGATGGGTTGTTGTTGTGGGGTCCATGAGGTGGAATAGGGCATGCAAACGACACGTATGGGCAATCTTGGAAGCAACAAGTATTGCTACCGTGGTGGATGGCACTCTCGTAGTTCATATCACACCGTTCCCCTTTCTCGCACTCTCCATTCCCACAAATCCCAGTCTTTTTGATATTGGGAACATTTGTTATGTGCAAGGAGTTCTGATACAAGACCACTAAATTTGATATTTTTAGTTTCACAGTGATTGTTTTTAGTTCTATATCATGCAAATTTTAATTATTCTTTATTGACATTTTTAATATGTAAATTTGTATTTTAAACAATATCCAAATTTAAAAACTATGTAAATTTCTATATTATTTTTAGACATGAGACAAATCAAGAAAATTTTAACTTTATACAAATATTACAATATATTGAATTGAATGTAAGTTTTATATATATATTAAAAAAAAGTGTCATTACCATTACTTGGCTATCGTTTACACATGTTTCTGTAGAAAATTTATAGTTATGCAGCACTTTGTGGATTTCATTTTCTTTTGTTACCATTCTTGTGAGACGGTCCTGTTATCCATGACTTATTTTAAATCATCATTTTTAAAAAGGAAATTACAGTAAACATCTATTGAAAACATATTTATCCTGATTATATCTTCACAAAAATCTTGCATTGATTTTTTCTCAATGCATTTTTTTTTGTTTTTGTTTTTGTTTTTGTTTGTTTGTTTGTTTGTTTGTTTGTTTTTTTTTTTTTTTTTTTTGAAAAACCAGGATTATTACATTTGGTTTTGGTAGTAGAGCTACTTCCACTGTTCCATAAGTTTTATAAGTTCCATTATTCAAACATGCTTGAGCAAGGTCTTCAGTATTTGTACAATCACCTAGTGTTATACTTCACTTTTAGTATTGAAATTCATAAAAAATTAAACTTACAAATTTATGGTGTTCAATTCATAAATAATTATTAGGACCTCTAGAATCAAACAAAACTTTCAAAACTAGTATATAATTCAAAACAAGTGATAATTTTTTGTCCAATTTTGTACCTTCATAATGACTTGATAAGTCTATGGATGATAAGATTATAGCATCATCAGCTAATCCTAGTTGTGTTGCAACCTTTACATTTCAATACAATTACATGTCATCTATAAGTTAAGCTACTATGTACAAAATCAAAAATAATAATAAAATATTTTTAAATATTAAAACACACACACACACACATAAAGAAGTGTATATTATTTTGAAGCATTCTCTTTTTAGCATCCAAGTACATTGTAATATATAAAAAAACCTCCATAACATACTTTGATGGTATCTAATGTCCAATTAACTTACCTTAGATACAAATGAAAATATAAGCGGTTTCCACTTTTCATGAGATTGGTTTGAGATTGTAAGGTTTGAGTCAAAAGAGAGGGACATGGTGACATTTGTGGCACAAGTGATTCCATCTCCATCGCAAATATGACATTCATCCAACACCCCACTTTGGCAACATATTCCTTTCTCATCACGAATAGTGTTACAACATTTGTGTTGAGAGTCTACAAACCTGCCATTACCAGTTCCATTTCATTTAAGTGCACTACAATACAGTCATTATATTTATTTTTTAGTTTTTGAATCCCAATCCTTCCACTTAATACAAGTTTTCAAATCTTGATTACATGGTTATACATTTTAACTTAATATTTTAAATTATTATTCAATATTTTTCAAAAAAAAAATAATATAAGTTATAGAAGTAAAACGAATATGAAAAAAAAGTAACACCATATATAAATGATGTCTTATTTATATTTTTGTGTTTGAAGTTGAAGCAGATCACAGAATCTTGTGTGCTACATAAAAATATTTTAGCAGAAACGAATGCTTAGTACTACCATTTTGATAGATCTTTACATTTAATTTTTAATTTTTTTATAAAATGGAAAACTAAATTTATTGGCGTGTTATAAATTTGAACAAAAAGTGCTTGGTTTGTCTGGAAAAAATTACAATCTGGACTAGCTGATGGTTTAATGCTGTCAAAGCTTCCAAAACTTTATCAAAAAATATTCTTCTTATTTAAGATTCTAAAAAGAATAATAATAATAATAATAATAATAATATTCATGATAATGATAATAAAATTCTATGTATACTATTTTAAATCAAAATTATTATACATTAAAAATAAAAGATAAAAAATAAAACTGTGAAACAACAAAAACATATGATTGTATTTTTAAAAAAAGATTAAATATTAATGATAATGTTACTTGGTAGATATAATTGCAATGTTTCATTTTATTTGAAATGAAAAGATCATGTATATTTCAGCATGTTTCAAAAATATTGTGCAAATCAATAAGATTTGTTAATTAATGAAACAGAATTTAAAATATCAATGAATCATACACATGTAATTTGAAACCTCAATTTGAAAAATTTATTGATAATCCAAAAAATAAACTACACTCATTTAAGCACCACTGATTTCTTATCTTAAAAACTAATTGGTATTTTGGAACCACAAATTCATATATGTCTAAAAAATTGAAACTATGTTAATCAAACAAAAAATACTTTGAAGATGTTGTAAATAAATAAATGATAGATGATTACTTTGCTAAGCCATTACATTGTCCACAAGCATCAAGGATGCCTTCTTCACAACACAATCCATCCTAAATCAATTTCAGTGTACAAAAAAGTTTATGTTCAGATTATACTGCAACATATCTAAATACTAAAAATGTTACACATGTTCAAATTGATTCAATGTGATTAATGCTTTTCGAGTTTAACCCATAATTTACTAAATGCTCATATTTATGAAATCAATAAATAAAAATTTACCACAAAATGGTAAATACATTTTTTATTTACAATTTGTGGTAATTTTTTATTTATTGGATAAGTAAAATATTTATTTTGTGGTAAATATAGAAACAAAAGAACAGAATTGACTTTGTACAGGCATTTTCAATAAAAAAAAATATTATTTTTTGGCAATTAATTTTGTATGACCAACTGATACTTAAATTTATTTATTTATTTATTTCACATACTGAAGTTATTGCAGCAGATGGGGTTGCACAACACTTGTGGTTAACATCAACTGTGGAATAGGGACAACACTCCAATTTGCCCTCGTGGAATCCTAATGGACGTCCTAGACACTTCTTAAGTATCTCACATCGAGGACCTTCCCAACCTTCTTCACATAAACAATTGCCTCCCTACAAAATTTAGTTACATACATGAAAATTTGAAAAAATAGACAATATATTTATTTACACACAGCATAAGTAAAAAAAAGAAAAAAAGTTCCACTGTAATAAAATCTCACATTCAATTTTTTTCAAAATTTATAAATTTTCAACAATACAAAAAATAAAATATGTTGTATAAACATCTGTATAGAGCTGAGTTAGGATTAGTGTACTTGAAGACGACCGTATTTGGAGCAATAAGTGGTCAAACTATTATTGCACTCAACATTTGTGTGTGAACAAGGTGTGCTTGATATTGGCTTAATATTTGTGGCACAAAGTTGCAAAGGAGATTCATTCCCTAACTCATCTACACACTATACATCAACACATCAAAACAACAATGATAGTAATAGTAATAATATTATTTTTTAAAAAATCTCTAAAATAATAATTTTATAACAAAATCAATGACCTTTAAGAACATGTGTGCAACCATATGTAAATATATACACATATGCTCAAAAATAATATAACTAAGATTTCAATTCCTAATTATTTGTTAACAATGTAGCTTGAAATCTTTCCTCATTTGGAATTATTGATAAATTTTAGTTTCCATCAACTAATTTTCACCTGTACTTGGCGTGTTTGATTTGCATTACAAACACCTTCACAATCACTCCAAGGTCCCATTGACCATGTATATGTTTGACAAGGCTGTTGAAGAAGACATGAAGAATAAGTACATCTCTAAATATAGTAAAAACAAAGTGTATTTTACTTTGAAATCCTTGTAACAGTGACATTATAGTCTAGTTTTAATGTTGTCTATAAGTTATTTGTTTAGAGTATATGATTTTGTGAGCTTTTGAATTACAAGCACTACAGTTATAGCTCTTATCAAAATGATTTTTCTAAGTTGATTTAAGTATGTGTTTTTGAAAAAGACTAAAAAGAAGAAAAGAAAAACCCATCAATTGATGACATTAAACTACTGCTGTCAAAATATTATGCAATTGCATCATCAAAAACTAACAGCAATTCCTTTTCTTTTTTACTCTAAAAAAAAATGAAATCATATTTGAATTAAGTAAAAATATTCAAACCTGTTATGCATTTCACCACAAGTCCAAAAACCTAACTGTTCTCATATCTACATAAGTTAGAATTGAAAGTTAAACCATTATAACTAAATAGTCTATAGTATAATCATATATGTTTAATAAAAAAAATAATAATTACATGTGTATTGCAAACTTTTTCCATCATAGGAGGTGGCAATTGAGAGCAATCCGAGTCTTTTGCAATTTGGAATTGAGACCTACAAATGATCTCTCGGAAGCTTTTGCCTCCTCCGCACGGAACATTACAAAACTCCCAATCCATTGCATCCCAATATGTAGCATTGCATTGTCCCATGTGGCATGGTCTACTCTTCTCCACATCCTCCATTTCCAATCCACAATGTGACAAATGTGCCACATTTCCTAAATTATCCATGCACATCACCTGCCTGCCAAAATCATCCTTCTCTATTATTATTAGGGTTTAAGCTTACAATGAAATCCACTATGATAAGGCCTCCTATTTACAAAAAAGATATAAAAAACAAAAAATAAAAAAAGTGAAATGAAAACCCAAAACATAAAACATAAGAAAGAATGTGTTACTCTTATGTGTATCATTAACATTGATGCAATTCTCAACATCAAATTTAGTTTTAAAGTATGGAATGAAAAAGGCTAGAAGCACCTAGTTTGTTTGCCTTGCCCACACATCTCATCACATTCACTCCATGGACCTGTGTATTGGTTGTAGTGTCTGCACTCCACAAAATTGCACACCTACATTTATCCAGTTCACAAAATTACACACACACACACACACAAATACACACAATCTCTCTCTCCTGGATGGCTTTATGTTTAAACTGTGTCTTGATTAGTAGAATAAAGTACGAAATTTATAAGGTATGATTGTGGGGTTTTGGAGGGTTCACCTGGCTCTGCCTTGGAAGGGGCAAACCCACACACTTTGACCGATCTGCTTCCACATAGTTGCCAGAATAGCACTTGTGCACTGCTTCCTGAGAATAATAATAATAATAATAATAATAGTAGACAAAATGGGAAACAGTACAAACATGTTTGTAAGGTGCATACACTTCCTACGTATCATCTCACGTGTACATTTCCAAGTCCTTACTGGCAAAGAGAGCGAGAGGGGTTGGAGCGATATGTACCTGTGATCCGCCGCCACATGGACGGCTGCAAGGGCCCCAGGTCACCGCGCTCCAGAAAAAGGACGTTTGGGGAGGGGAAGGACGTGGCAGCGACTGATTGGTTACATGTTTGCGGAGGCTCCACGTGGCAAAGGACTGTTGGTCGCTTTCCACGGAGGAGATCCGCGTGGTGGTGCTGGCCAAAGGAAGGGCCGTTCTCTCATATGGCACAACTACACCTGGCAGTCAATTAAAACCAAAAATTGATTAATTACTTCATTAATTAATTAATTATCTCATTCATTCATTGATTAATTAGATTTTCTACTAAGGGATTCTTTGATGAAATCTGGTGCTACATAGAACAAGTGCAAATGTTTCTGAAGATTTGGAATTTGTATGGACTGGTTTGCTATGTCTGGTGGTGGTGGTGGTGCATAGATATTGGAGACAATCATGTATATTAATAGTTGTAGTCGTGTCATTTCATCTGCAACCTGGTTTGATGAATGCTTATTCTTTTAAGGAGAAAGAGAATAAGGAGACAAAGAAAAAATAGCAAGGTAGTAGAAGCCCCCCTCTCCCTTTTTATTGGTTTATTTGTATATTTACATAAAATGTCTATAAATGTATACAAAATATATTTTTAAATTTCCTATTACTAGTTAGCTTAATGTATTAAAAAGGTGAAGACATTTACTTCTGACGTCTTGCATTATGAAGTCAAAATTGCCACCTAGATCATTCCATCCATCCACAATCTTTACACATAAGAGATGCAACATCAAAAATGTCATTGTGGTTCCATGTCCTTCAATGTAAACATTTTGGAAGATTTGGTAATATAAATTAAAAAATAAGTATATATGTATATGGAAATGTTAAAATGACTCACCTAGTTACTAAATTGACCCACCCTATTGTGGGGAACAAGGGGAAATAAAGGGAGTTGAGATGAGAGCTGGGAATAGGGTGGGGAGGGGGGATTAGGATGAAGACAACTAGGAACAAAGGGGAATGGGGTAAAGAATGAGGGGAATGGTGATAGATGTGAGCTATGAATATAATGATGGTTTCTAGAGATGATTTTTTTTTTTTTTTTTTTTTTTTCTAATGATATTTACAATAGAATGTATAAATTTAGTAAATAGGTGGGTCATTTTAACATTTCCCTATATGCACATATATTTATTTAGTGTAAATTCACACTCTCAGCTCCTATTATCCATGAACTAAGTTTTGTGGATAGATGAGAAGCTTGAGAAAATACAAGTCGTAAGTCTACCAAACTATTTTTCTACCATCTAATTTCTCCACTCATTCATACATACATATGTATATACATACAGGGACATATAGACAGATGTTCACACTTGTACTCATATGCACTCAAAACTAATTTTGGTAAGACAACTTACAAAAATATATGTTGAACCTGCTTTGAGTGGCAATGGAACCAAAATTGAAATGTCAGTCCATGCGTCATCGTTGCATCCAATTAATGAGTATTTGGACACTCCTTTTAGTGTTGTTCTCTCATATGCTGATAACAACGTGTCAAAGTCTGTGTTGGAGCCATTTAAAGACACCATCACACTCTGGCATTGCAGCCAACCATGTGTACAAATTGTTAGTACATCTCTTTTAACACAATATATATATATATATATATATATATATATTACCTTCAGCCAAACACATGTGTTTACCTTGTTGCAATTCTTTGCATTTTAAAAATGTTAGTTATTATCCTTTCTCAATCAACCATTTCTTTTTTCTAATTAAAGAATTACATTTTTAGGACAATTAATTTTAGATCCACATTGGTCCAAACTTTTTAATAGAAGTTTACCATATTTGAAATTGCAGTGTATTGAAATACAACATCAGGTCCAATGTTATGACAAAAATCAATACTGCTGTTGTACACATTCTTGTATTTGAAAGAACTCTCATAATAAGTGAAAGGCAATTTGGGGATAATCTTTGGGTTGTCAAGTGTTTGTCCACAAGGATTGTCTACTGACCATTTGCAAATGGCTGCATTACAGAAAACATGGTATCAATGAAGGTTGTGAAATATAACTAATCCTTTACTGCTTTGAAATATAAAAAATTATGTGGTTTTTGGATGGTGGCAATCAAAATGGAATGGAATGGGAGGGAGGAGACCTGTATCAAGAGACATGATATATCCTTCAGGACAAATATTGTAGGTTGCATCTAGACTTGAAAATGCCCATCTGATCACAGATCCTCGGTCCAAATAATCTGCTATCAAATATATATATATATATATATATATCCAAAATTAAAATTGAAGTCCATGAAGAAAAAAGGTGTTTTTAATTCTTGCACAGTTATTGAAGAAATTCATTGTCTTCAAATTGCATCCAAAACATCATGTGATTAAATTGTAATGCATCTGTTCTCTTTTCAACAGATGATAGTTGTGGGTGTGTGTGTTTGTGTGCATATATATATATATATATATATTGGAAGATATCTCTGGGCTCATTTTTAGGAAAATTAAGAAAGATGGATGTCAAAGACTAAATTGGATCCTTGGTTTAAATTTATGTCTGGAGTATGTATTTCAGGACAAATATAGTCATTATATATTACACTAGTTGGTGTTACCCTTTTTTTTTTTTTTTTTTAAATATTATGATTAAAGTAATGTAAGCTAGTTACTCAAGTTGGGTGTGAAGGAAGAAATGAAAAAAAAAATACATAAATCACTTAGCAATTCCACCTGAAATAACTTATTTTAACATTGGTAAAGTAAATGTTGATGCAAGGCTCTACTAATAGACCTGTTCTATTGTTCAGACAGAGCTTGATGGTTTGTGCCATTGACCAGCTTGCATCATTTGGAAAACACAGACGAGGTGGTTGAAAATAACCTGTTCACAAATAATAACAACAACAACAACAACAACAACAACAACAGCAAAAAATTCATGTAAACATATTCTAATTGCCCATACAATGCTACCTGTTCAATATCAAATATGAAATTGGAGACACAGTCCATGTTGGTTGCATTGTTTAACCTATACAACTCATTTCAAGGTTGAAACAGTTTTCCAGACTCCAAACCTCACAACCTCTGTGCTGTTGCAAGAGCATTAATAACCCAAGTGTGGGTGCCTCTATTCACAAGAATTTTTAAATGTGGCTACTGTCACAATGATGCTTCTTCACATCCCAGCTCACAACAAATAAATAAACATATGTATATATATATATATATATATATAAATTGATTGGCAGTAGAAAGAGAGGGTGGTACCAATGGAGGCATCAACCAAGGTGGGGGTAAGGATGACAATGCTCTTGGGCTTCACCCTCAAACTGACAGTGCTCCCCTGGGTGGAGCCTTCTGTGGCATTGTAAAAGGCACGGGGGCTGATAACAAAGCTTGGCTGCATCAGGTTGACGACATTAAGAAGCTTTGTGGTGGTCGAGGGTTGCACTCCGCTCACTGCATTGGGTTCACATGCATCCAGCAACGCTTGCCTCACGTCCTTGGACCTCGCATCTGTGTATTGGCCAAGGTATAGTGCTGCTGCACCTGCCTGTCAGCACCTCACTCTCACCCCCCTTCCCTCCTTCAGAACAAGCTTTGTGGTGGCCTTGCAAAATGGGATGAAATGAAATCATAGATAGTCCCTTGTAATGTCAGCAGAATTAGGGTTTATTTATTTATTTACGTTGAAAAACCTATGATTAGGGTTAGGGTTTACCACATGAGGACATGCCATGGAGGTTCCAGAGAGGGTGTTGTAGCCTGTGTCACTTGTGTTCCATGCACTTGTGATGAGCTCACCCTGCATGGCACGGCACAACAACCCAGCACCTCACTATCAATGTCCACTGTTTTTCTTATGATCAGGAACACTCACACACAAACCCAGGTTTTGTTTTGTATTGTATTGTTCTGTCATTTTAACTGATTATTTGTTGCATTGAAGTGCTAGTTGCTCACGGGGGCAATGATAGAGATGCAGGGCCCATAGTTTGAGAACCAGCTCAGCACATTTTTATTGGTGCTTGATCCAACCGCCAGGGTGGACAGCACCCTTGCTGGGGAATACCTGCATGCGTCTTCATGAAAATTGCCTCCTGCCACCACCTAATAAACCCTTCTATACTCCCAGTTGGATGTTGCCTTTGGAGGGTGGTCATAACCCCCAACAACAATCCCCATGTGGACCGCACCCACTAAGAGGAAGAGCAACATATAGGAATAGCAACTTTTCTTTCTACACAGAATATACATACATACATACATACATACATTCACTATATTTGAACAGCCACTCACCTACCCACCTACTTTAGTTATGAATCTGTGTTGATTGATCATGTGTGAAGTTTTTGCTCACCACAAAAATGCCTTTGGTGTTCATGAGGTTTGTAATGGCTTGGTCAATGCTGATGGATGCCATGGCACCCAGCGACATGGAGATAATGGCTGGCATGATGGCATTGAGGTTGATCCAATCCAAGGAAGCCATGATCATTCCATAGCCTCCATTTCCTTCACAAGTGAGAGCACGGACAGGATGCACAAAGGCACTCTTTGCCACCCCACTTTGTAACCCAGCTGCTATGCCTAAACACACATGTACACTTTGCAAATATATAACTTCAAAATTGAATGCCATTCCACAATTAGCAAAATGAACCATGAATTAGCACATTTTAATTATATATATATAAAAAAAAAAACAATGAAGGAAAAACAATGATATATTATAAGAAAACAACAAAGACAGAGCATGTAGTTGTAATTGTATTATTACACCATGAAGAACATTCCACCTGGGTTTCTGTGTGTGTGAACATATCTATATATATATATATATATACATATATCTGTGTATGTGTGTGTTTGTTTTACCAGCACAGTGTGTGCCATGTCCATTGCAGTCCTTGGTTCCATATCCATCTTTCACTGCATCGAATCCATCTAAGCACCTTGAGATGGGGATTTTGTTGGAGTCCAGTCTCCCATCTAAATATCCAAAATCTACATGAGTACACCTGATTCCCTGAGTTCACATTATTATTAGAATGACATACACACTTTACTAAAACAAACACTGCATCATAGTTTTTTATCTATCTTTTGTTAACTTGCAATTATTTACTCTTCTGTCATGTCTGACTACAATTATATGAATTTGTCTATTGAGAGAGAGAGAGAGAGAGAGAGAAAAAAAAAATTTATACTCTACATACTATGTACTAAAGTAAGATCTATATTATACCAAAAAAGAAGGGGTCTTAGATATTAACATTGTACTCTTATTTTGAAACATATTTTCATAAACAATAAAAATTATACATGGAAGCTTTTCACTTACAGTGTCAACAACATAAATATGAACACCACTGCCTCCACTTGTGACCGTGTATAGTTTATTTAGTAGGGGCTGGTTAGCCTGATGGTCAATGCGATCCAGGCCCCAATTTGTAGGATCAATTTGAGTCACATTTTTTTTTGTAATGGTAATGTCAAAGCCACTTACACGTACAACACCTTCGACTTCCACATGCTCTACATTATCTATTTCTTCATCTAGAAGTCGATACAAACTGTCTCCTCTTATGACTATCAGCATACCAATCCAATGTAATTTGTACCTGTATTGAGTTGAAACAGTTTACTTTTTACTACTTGATTTTGGTAAAATACAAGGTAATGT